AGGCAGAATGACACACCTATGGATCTGTCCTATTAAATCCAGTACTGTATTCGTATGTCACACTTAGAAGTAAGAAAGAGAAAGGGGGGAAAATGCAGGGAGAGTACACACTATATTTTAAAAGTGAACTTTCATTGTCTTTTGTTCTGCAAATTTATTTGAATTGTGGGATTATGGCTGTAGCACCACTGATTTCAGTTCTAGAAGCAGGTGCAGAGAGAATGGATGGAAGCAGCATGCAGAAGACCCCCCTTGTTGCCATTTTAAGAGAGACTGAAAGAGAAGCTTGCCCATTGCCCTTTTAAAGTCCCTCACTCACTCTCTTCCCAGTGGCTGCCTTAGGAAGCTGCTCTGGCTTCTTGAAAGGTAAAAGCAGGTACACCTACAGGGTAGGTTCGTCCTGAACCGTGCACCCTTCATTTAAGCATGAAGTGAGCTCGAGGGCCCCTACACGTCCCTGTTTAAAAGGATGGCCAACATATTTTTTGTGAGTTAAATTAGTTGCTCATACACTCCTCCTTCCTCAAAAGGAGGCGCCCATACCCTGCCACATGAAAACTACCTCTAGAGAAGTGATTCCTAATCTTGCTTCTGGACCACAACCTCTTAGAAGCCTTAGGTAGCCTAGCCAGCGGGCTGAGTTTCTGGATGTACGTATGTAGGATTGCAGACTATAAGACTTAGGAAGAAGGGAGCTAACCATCATGTTGTCAAGACCATATTTCCAAGTGATGCTTGTAGAGTGTCCGGCTAGAGATGTGTGCTTGAAAGGAGTCAAAGAAAAGATTGGCTCTCTGCAGATTTTAACTTGCATTATGGAAAGGATGCACATTAGCTGTGTTCGTCTTGTTCCCTGTGGAATGAGAGATGAGAGCCTATGTGAGGACACACATCTTATTCTAATCTAATAGTTTCCATATGTTGTGGGACCACCACCTGTATCATAGGATTTGTAGTTCTGTGTGGAAAAAAAAATGGGAAAGGCAATGACAAAGTGGAGAAAAACAGCACTATTGAAGGAGTTAATAACAAATGGGCTCCCGTAGTCCATGATAACAGTGCATATGGCATTCTCGGTAAAGTGCCTAACTTCTTTCATTTGTGTGAACAGAGGTAGTCCAACAGTATAAACAACAGCAGCAAATTGCCGTTGAGTTGTGCTTCAGGTCTCACAACTGGCATGTAACAAAGAAAGAACCATGAATTTCTTAAACCAGCAGCAATTTGCTGCTGTGATTTACATCAGCCATTCTCAATGGGCACCATATGGCCCCCTAAGGGCCTGTGGCACATTCATCTTTTTCTAACCTAATAATTTTCATATGTTGTGGGAACACTGCCTGTATCATAGGATCTGTAGTTCCATGTAAGAAAAAAAATGGGAAAGGCAATGACAAAGTGGAGAAAAACAGCACTATTGAAGGAGTTAATAACAAATGGGCTCCCGTAGTCCATGATAACAGTGCATATGGCATTCTCGGTAAAGTGCCTAACTTCTTTCATTTGTGTGAACAGAGGTAGTCCAACAGTATAAACAACAGCAGCAAATTGCCATTGAGTTGTGCTTCAGGTCTCACAACTGGCATGTAACAAGGAAAAGAACCACGAATTTCCCATTCTCAATGGGAGCCATATTGCCCACTAAGGGCCCGTGGCACATTTGGTGGCGCTGCAGGCTAAACTGCAGAAGCCTCTGTGCTGCAGGGTCAGAAGACCAGCAGTCGTAAGAT